TCGTAAGGCATGACTTCAAGCAAAAACAAAATTATCAGAATAGATTGCACAGTCATGTAATAATACCTTGACAAAATTCTGTCAAGAAGTTCACCACCTTCACACAATCTGTAAGGAACACCAATGATTTTTAAATATATTTGAGTGACATTTCATTATTTTCACTTAACTAAGAAGAAAGCTTGAAAAAATTGATATTTTGTCCAATCACTGATAAACTGAAAAATAATAACAATTCTGAACAAGGAGATCATTGTAGAATATATTATGAGATGCGAGGCTTTAGCAAAATGCTTTTTTGTGATAATATTCAATCACGATTAAACACTTGACAAAAGTTAATACAAACAACAAGGAACAAACCTTTTGTAGGTACAATAAAATGAATTACAACTTCTATGAATTGGAAGCATGAAAATACTAGTATATTAGGGTATACATACTCCATAACTATGTAGACGTTCTGGGCATCCTCAAATGCTTCATGAAATTGGACCAGATTCTTATGTCCAGACAAGGCTTTCAATATCTTTACCTCCCTACGGACATCTTCAATCGATATTGCGGTAGTCATCTGCCAGATAGCATTTTCTGTTAACAGCTCTGCAGTAAAACTTAGCACCCACTTTCTGATAAATCAAATACACCTAAGCACGAGAGGAACTTCAAGCTTCTCGGTGCCAATAAAATTTACCAATCAGTTACAGAGAGACGGAGATTAATATTAATACTAAGGAACAAAACCATAATTTTGAACTGGGTAGTTGATAAAATCTTGAGGTTTCAACTCCCAAAATCAGACTTGGGGGTTAATCAATGTCCACAACTCCACTCGGTAGACTTAATATTTTCAAACACTGTGAGGGAAGAGCCTTCTAAACCCAGACAAAAAATAGTCAGCCTAGGTGAGGACTGAGGACTTCAGCCAGGAATACATTAACTGCAAAGTTGAAGATTCTAACAACAGATTTTTCCCCGTATCCGAGGAACAGAGCCCATAGTCCGCATTATGGAAATAAAGAAAATAAAGAAGCAAAACCGAAAAATCAGCACATATGTAAAAGGGAGGAGTTTTGAAGTGGTACAAACTGTAAAGACATACCACACACCTTAGCTTTGGCAATGATCTTCACAGCTACTGCCTGATTCTTGAGCTCTCCCTTTTTCCCTTTGGCCCAACATGTATGTCCAAAATGTCCACGCCCCACTTCTTTTCCCAGTTCATACTTGGCACCGAAATTCTTGGGATACCCAAAGCTCTTGTCCAGTGGCCTCTCACCTTCATTGTCTGCTGCTCCGCCGCCGTCATGCTCAGGTATCGGCCCCTCATTCGGCTTCGCCGGCGCCCCTTGTCGCTTTAGAATCGCGGACATGATGGGCTTCGCCGGCGAAGGAGGGGGGAAGGGCCACCTGAACTTCCTCCCGGGAGTTCTCGCCGGCGACGGCGAAGGCCGAACTCCTGCCGGGTAAGGACTCTGCCATGGGCTGGCGGCAAAGGAATGAGCTGGAGTGCTCTTATTGGAGTGACCGTTGGCCGATGGTGGGCCCGGAGATACTGCTGGCCTGGGCTTCCGGCGGCGGTCTGCTGCAGCCGAGTCACCGGCGGAAGTGGCAGTGGCGGAGGGATCACCGTCGAAGGAGGCGACGGGATCGTCGACCTTGTGGACTGAGACTGAAACACTTTTGGTGCAGCAATGCCCCATTAACGGCTACAATTCCGACGACGATCGGTTCAAAGTCCACCCATCCACCGGTCAACTGAAAATGTTAGATGCTGACGCCGGCCAAAAATAACGTGGAGAAATTTATGCGCGTTAGAGCATTTTATATTGGAGCATGAAAATTTCACAGGCAGTTGGACTGCTGGAGAGAGGAAAAATAAAATACTACTACTACTACTACCCCAGCTGTGCCAGTTCTTTTTTTTTTTAAACCATTTCAAATACTGCACAGAAATTTACGAGGAGTTTTGAAATTGTCCGACAACAAATTCAAAGTTTGAAAAGACAAAATGGTTAACGTCAGATTTTACGTAAATATTTGTTGTCAAGATTGAATACTTTATTACTGCGCTAATTGCAGACTGTAAACTATGAAGACAAATTCAACGACGACGCTAAATGGTATTATACTGCTCTGCTGATCCCCTTAATCTTAATTAGAGGTATCAAAATGGGTGGCTTGGACGGGTTTGGATTGGGTAAAATGGGTAATGGGTATAAGTGAGTCAACCCATTTATGAACAGGGAAAAAAAATGAATTGAGTAACCCAATTACCCATTTATAACCCATTTATTTTAATTTTTTGTAAACTCATTTAAATTTATTTTTTCAAACTAAGTTATCAATTTATACCGCTCTTTGTACCCACCATTAATTTTAAATATTTACTTATAATGTTCAATAAGTCTAATTACCAATTTTTTTCCATTTATACTCTATGTCGCAAAATTACATATTATTTAATAATTGAATAATAAGAATAAAAAAAATTGAACTAAGTACTATAAAAGTTAATATAAAAACTTAATCCAAAAATTTTGAACCCCTAACATTTTTTTCATATATAAATTTAAAATTTCATTTTAGAAAGATAAGAAAAGATGCTAAAACTTATCATAAATTGGTAATGCTAAAAAGTGAGCAAGTTAACAAATTAAGAGAAAATAAAATAATAAGATAAAACCAACAAATAATAATAATAGTGAAACAAAAGTAGTTAACATCATGACAAAATGAAATATTTGAAAAAAAAATGGTAGGGGAAGAGAAGAGACTTAGGGGAAGAGAATTCTAAATGAGTTAATTGGGTTTGATGGGTTATCTGGGTAACCCATTCATATCCATATACAAAAATTTAAGATACCCATACCCACCTATTCATGTACGAGTATGGATAAATTTAGTTAAGTGGGTTGGTTTGCCACCTATAATCTTAATGATGGAAGGTTTCTCATTGATTTAAGAAACGAGACTGAATTTGTGAAACAAAAAAAAGAGCGTAACGTCCCATTTAAATTTTTATTTTTAAAAATTTTTATTTAAAAAATATATTATAATAATTTGATATATATAAAATAAAAGAAATAATTTTAAAAATATGTCCATAAAAAATATAAAAAATTTTTTAAAGAAAAATAACTTTTCAAACAAAACTTAAATATGCCAGATTAACAACTAAGATGACGGCTGAACAAGGGGAATTTGTGGAGGCAACTACTAGTATTAAGTATTAAGCGTATTACGCATGGTGTTCGAAAGAACCAGGCTATTTTTTCTCCAAATTTTTTTTTTTTTTTTAGAAGGGAAGAAGAAGAAGAAGAAGAAGAAGAGGAGGAGGGCTAGGAGCCTAGGACAAGCAGTTGGCATTGGACTTGAGACGTCGCAATTACGACTAAGGAGATCAAATGTGTACCCTATTAACGTTTCCTTTCATCGATAACATCGATGCTTGCCTTTTTTCTTTTTTTTTTTCCACAAATTAATTTGGTTAAAGAGTAGATGGTGGTTCCATACTAAAAGCGTAAGGAAGGAGGGGTGGAAGGAAGTGTATTTCTCTGTGCTAATAGAGAAGCACAAGGCCTTGTTTCGCAGATAAGTTTTTTGTCAAGTTTGTCTGCTATAAGTTTTTTAAAAATTTTAACTTTATTAATCTCAAAAAAAATTTTCAAAAATTTTAAACTATATATTTCAAAATATTCAAAAAAAACACACTTCAAACATTTTTTTAAAAACTTCTACAGTGAGTTATAGTAAAGTTTTAGACAAACACCCAAAAAAATTACTTACCAAACGGGGCCAAGAAGTTTTTTTTCTTTTCAAATTAATTTGCGGCAGCACAGAATCTACAGAGTTTGAGAGCAATTAGCAACCAGCGTTTTTTTTTTCTTTTTTATGCCTATGGCCTATGGGGATCTATGGGGTATATTCCCGGATGCGAAATGGGCTGGTTTGGATTGGTCATCTTTTTAAATATAATGCTATCGTAATAAACAATAAACAATAGTTCAAAAAAATCTCATCCATACAATATACAAATACTTCAAAAAAATTTTATAGTAAAAATTTAAAATTTTTCATATACATTACTACAGTAAAATTTTTTAAAAATATTCCCAAAAATAGCTAATCCAAACGGACAAATGACAGAATTGAAAGGAGAATCACCTTCCTAGGTACGTAGCTATGAACCTTCTTAATTTATGGAAACAAGGAAGTTTCATCGTTCATGCATAGCTATTAGTACTATCAGAGTATTAGACCAGTAGTATAATAGTTTTGTACACTTTAAATAATAGTTGCTTCAAGGTACTGTGCCTGTATTTAAAAAGGCCATCTCATCATCTACTTACTACTACCTATAGAAGATGATGACATGATAGCTCAATTGCACGAATGCAAGGCAGCATGGCACCACTTGGGGTTCCCTCTCTCTGGCAGATTGCAACTTCCAAATGCCCACAAACGGCGCATGTTTAAGAAGCTCAACTACCGGCTAAGGTTTGGGGTAGAAGATTGATTACCCTCCCTACCAAACAGACTAAAATCCTACCCTAAGGCAGATAGACGGAAGAAAGAGGTCAGGTCATCACAGGATTATTTCCCATCCCGGGGAGCAAGCAGCTGTAATTCCCCGTTTTCCAGTTCAGTAGTTCACTAGTGCTACTAAACACATCTTCAAAATTCACGGCTTGCGTACCTAAAAAACAAAACGCAAGGCACCTTTCTTACCAATCTCAACTTAATAACGTTTTTCCACCTGGCTGGAAGACCAGCAGCGATTTTACTGGTCAGCTTAGCACAATCTGGCCCAATTCACAATAAGTAGGAAATAAGATGTCATCAGTCCTAACTACTGAATAATACCTTACCATGGGCTGGGGTGAGGTGAGGGTTGAGACGTTTTAATGATGCAGTAACATACATCCACCAAACGAGCAAGCAAACATATTGATTGACACTCTCAAATGAACAGGGAAGTAGTTGCTTGGGCCAAAACATAGAATGCCTGAGAACATTTCGTCATTCCGTAACGTATTGATAATAATATGTCTTTCAAACCGTTTGTTCACTCGGGGGCATGAAAACGGCATCATCACCACCTCTCTCAGCATAACCACACCAGTGGGTATAAAATGGAGTACAAGCACCCTCACAGATTTGTGCATTTGTAAAGTTATGAGCAAAAGAATAGGCATGCCTAATTATTGCAGCAAGATCCTAGTTCCTACCAAAGCGATAGGGGTTCATCTGTGATCTTGACATCCAACTAGCTGACATGCTTCCCCACGAAATAGAAGAAGACCAGCCATGCATGAAGAAAAGAGGAAATTGGGATACAAATACTCTTATCCCCTAAGAAAATAGTTATTATTAACAGAAGAGACAGCTGCCAAGAACAGCATCCAACATGATTACAAGTCAAGATCATTCAAATGACCCCATTCTTATTTCTGGTTAACAGTCAAAAACGTATCTTCAACGTCCTTGGCTCTCAACATCTTGTATTTGTGTTGCTCCAATCATCTGGGAATTAACTTGTCTGTCAACAACCATTGTTCCTAAACCAAAACAAAGCACCACCATAATTTAGTTAAATTTTTTTTTTTGAAGATACAAGATCATATGCCAAAGAAGTGACGCTCGTTCACAAAGCGAACTAGAGAGAAGACAAATAATAATGCGAAATCAACATGCTGTCCATTCAGACCCAACATTTAGCTTCAAACCAGATCTGATTCCATTACAATTCTGTGCATGTACATATGATACCAAAAAAGAAAAAGCATCCCTTACTAGACAGCAACAAAAATCTTCCAAATTGGAGGGAACTCAGGAGCTCTTAATGTTAAACAGACAACCTCTACCTCTCTACAAAGTTCACAGCCACTGTGAGGGATTTATACAGCAGTTCCATTTCTTATCAATAAGGTGCTTAAACGAGATAGGAGATATGATGTTCCGTCCTCCAGTTGCTACACCTGCTTTTATATCGCGCAATAGCCCTTTTCGTGTTTTATACGAGGAAGCTTACTATTTTCCAAAGAAATAGTGAAAATTGGAGAAAACCGTGATAAAACCAAAGTAAGAAAGTTCAGGTTGCATGATTGAGGTGCCTCCAAAGATACAAAAGACATTGTTCCAAGGGTGCACCAGAAAAGGAAATAAAAACATTAGCCTAATAGGATAAAAAATAACATGCAGCAAAGGTGAAACGGAAGGGGAAACTGATAATACTATTGACATGGATGCTATCTAGTCATGTAGCTTTTGGATGCAGTTACAGTATGCTTTCTAGTAATGGAGGGGAAAATCTCGGCAGCAAAGGAACAGCCAAGAACTTTGGTTCATGATTTAAATTATGGAAGGCCTTTGTGGCATAGAGTTTGTCACTGTAAGGAGTTGGACCCAAGGGTAACCATTAGTCACAATCTTGTATCTCACCAGAGTTGGAAAAAATGAGTAGGACAGCCAACGGGTTACAGACAATATCTGGAGCAGATGGTTCCGAGAATTCAGATGCCATGTCAGGCATACAACATGAATACAGTAAGACAACACGAACACCACATAGGAGCAACTTGTTAGAAGAATGACCATCACTGCCGCACAATGAAGCAGTATATGCCTACATGCAATTTCACAGGTAAGAAATTGGTTGAGACTTCAGAATTTTGATTCATGATTGTAGCAACATGCAATGCCCAGGAAATCTTGACATACAGGCACGAAGCTGCTCGTGCACTTGCAAATTTAAATAATCAGATGCTCGTTTGACTGTCTACCAGAGTAGATTCCAGTTTCAACATTTCATTTGATAATTAGCGAATCAAACATTACATAATGAACTTGTAGAATTCCTTATCAACGATCACTATCAGTAAAGCACGAAATACATTATTCCAACAAACATGACTAGTAAGTAAATAGCAACCATTACTTAATTGAAATGATGTTATGACACAACCCAAAAAAAAAAAATCGAAAGGGTTGACAAATATACTAGTGCTAACTCAATGTCTAAAGCAGAGTGGTATATGATAGCTTATTGCTCCACTATTGAAGCACAGATGCATATCCAGCTTCTTCACCCTCCTAACCCTGTGTCTAAGCCAGGCCAAACAAAACAATGATGGACCCTCGATGGAAAACAGTGAGCGTGTTTGGATAGGAGATTATTTGGGATTTTTTTTTAAAAAAATATCGTAACACTTTTTTTACGTGATTACGTGTGAGATTGGAAAATATATTGATGATACAAGTAAGTAAGTTAAAGTGTGTAAACAAGGTGGTATAAATCCTGAATAACTCGTTGGAAAAAGAAAAACAAAAAGACAAAAAAAAAAATCAACAACAAGATATTGAACGGATAGCGAACATGGGCGACTAGCTTAAACAGAGTATCATCCTTCAGGAAATTCACATGGAGGGACAATCCTTATAAAAGAAAAAAGAAAAACCAACTGGCAGAAAAATTAAGCACATTAAACAAAAAAAAAATTTGTGGCCTCCAACTCACCGATGACCGCTCCAGTGGATGATTAAAAAAAAAAGTTCTACCAAGAAGCTTTCTTAATGCCCATTAAAGCACCCCGCGATGCCAATTCTCGGAAACATATGCGAGACGTCCGAAAAAGCTGATAAACGGCACGTGGGCGACCCGTGAGAATACATCGGTTTCTAATCCGGGCAAAGGCACTGTTTCATGCCAACTTGGCCAGCTTGTAGCGATGCTTCTCCTTGAGCTCGTTTGGAAGTTCAGGATCTCTAACGAGGGCTTTGTAAAGCTTTCGCTTGTCTTCGAATTTAGCAGCCATCAGTCGGCGGTTGTGATCTTTCATACACCGCTTCTCCTCTGCCAAAACACTGAAATTCCTCGCCATTGCCATCTGTCGTCGGAGAAACGAAAAATAAGATGCAGCAGCGCCCACCCGCACGGTCATTTTCCGTCTATCCATCTCTTGGCAGAATGCCGCTCCGATCAACGTTTTCCCCGCCTCCCAGGCCCCGGCGGGCCAACAAAAATACCTTCTTTGTTTTAGAAGTCGTCTATCAGTTCTGGATTTAGGAGTAGGCCAACAAAACGTCTTTTTAACTACCCGTATTACACTTCTCTTATGTTGGGCCGAAGGTTGTTCGGCCCTTGTAATCAAAGTCCAATCCAAATTTACCCCAGTCAAACCCCAAAAACTTCTCGGGGCCCATTTTATATGATGCTCCCAATAGACGAAGCACTTCCGCTTTTAACCGTCCACCAAGTTTTCATCCCATCATTCGTTTTCGATGGTTACACTTAGGGGTGTGCATCGAATTCGAAATCGATAATTCGAAGGTTTGAATTCGAAATTTTTTGAAATTTTGGTATTTGATAATTAAATTTCGAATTCATCAATTCTGAATTCGAATTTGTACCGAATTAGTAAATTCTGATTTCACCGAATTCGGAAAAATTTATATATTATTATATAATATAAAATTTATAATATAATATAATATTTATATAAATTTTATATTACATGTATAAAAAATATATTTATATATTAAAAACGAGTTTGAAATCAAAATCGGAATTCGAATTCCGATTTGAAAAAGTCCATTACCGAATTCGATTCCGATTTTCGATTTACCGATTTCGAAAATTTGGAATTCAATTCGAATTCGGTCGGTAAATCGAAATTTTTCGATTTTGCACACCGCTAACTGTTCTTTCTTTCATCCCATCAATCTTTGTGCTTGCATTAGTTGTGCGTTGTACACCATATCATTAGAAGCAAAGGAGATTATTGTTTTGTGCATTTATTAATTTACTTCACTACCCTCCTTAGATCCTTTCTTTTGGTCTGGAATCGATTTATTACGGGGTATTCAGGCATTTTCCCTGGATTCGATTGGAATTTAATTACTCTTTTGCGCAAGTAGATGCCTTTTTTGTATGCATAGGTACATGATAATCCTAAATGTTTTGGTCATTTTGCATGAAATTATGCACCAGCTAGCTCTTGGGAACCGTAATTTGCCAGCAATCGCAGCAGAACTTCTCTGCTGGCTTAACACTTTATAGTTTTGCATGCATTATCTCTATTATTCAGATCGTCGTTTTCATCGTTTCTTTTTGCTTTCCTGCTCTTTGGAAGCTTCCGTTGTTGTTATGCTTCATCTTTTTCCTTCCTTTGCTTAGGATATTATGATGTCTTGCATTCAATATTGTAATATATTCTTTTAACTCTGTTGCTTTTTGGCTGTCTTCTTAGTTTTCCTCTTTTTTCTTTATTCCTGAGTTGCATTATTTCATATGCTTTTTGTATTTTGTAAGCTTTTATGTTATTTATACTTAATTTTTTTATATCTTTATTTTATGGCAATTTAAGCATTGTCATGTTTTGGTTCTGTATAACCTTAGTAAGTTCAGCATCAATTTATTTTTCCCCCTTTTTGCATGTTTATTTTTGCATGTACCCTTTATGCTTTGATACATTTAATGTTATCAAGTGTAGGTTTGCACACTCAAAGATTGTCCTCTGTGTCTTTAACTTGTTGCCTGATTCCATTATTTGGATTCGTCTTTGTGGTGTGATATACTATTCTTGTTCGTTTTTATTGTGGTTCCATCTTTTGTAATTATTGTAACCACGAGCTTGTCTAAGCTCACTATTAGTGAAGATCTGGCAAAAAAAAGTTGCAAGGAGAACTAGACGAAATGAACAAGCAAGAAATAGACATGCCATACTCTCTGTTGAAGAAAAAGAAATTCAACACACAAAACAAAGAGAGGCTTACTAGAGGAGAAAGGAGAAGAAATTCCTTTCTATGTCTCATTCTCGGCAAGTACAAGAAGCCTCAGATTGTTTTCTCCAGCGTCCATTTGTTACTCGTCAGCCTAATGAAGAATTGCACCAATGTATTTTTATTTCGTCTCTATCAGTTTAGGTTAATATATATCGTTCCTAAGCAATAATTTTGTCAGTACACGTTTAGCTGCATGTCCATGGCTCGCACAAATATTTGCTTCACTTCACGCGTATCTGTTCCCACACGTTTGATGCATAGAACATCCCAAAGAAAAGGATTCGTACAGGCACCGGCGCAGTGGCGGAGCTAGGAATTAACTTTGGGGGGGCGAGTCTATAACAATGAAAGTAAAATATATTTACAAAAAAAAATAATGTGAACATATATACCACAAGATTAGAAACAACCTTATATAGAATGAAAATTACTTATACGCTTCACATATACAAAAATATCATCATATTTACAAATCTATTTGACTGTGTGAGACATATGAAATTGTGCACGACGACTTTTAATTTTATCAAAGTCATCAATGATTGAATTTACATCAAAAGTTCTAGCAATTTCTTTCTCAATATACATTATCATAGAATTGGCAAAAAAGTCTTCCTCCATCCTAGAACGCAAACAAGTCTTGATGATTTTCATAGCAAAAAATGCACGCTCTGTTGTAGCTGTTGAAACAGGAAGAGTCAAAATAAGACGAATCAATCTATCAATAAGAGTATAGCACATTGACTTTCTTGTCTTCGCTAATACTTGGCACAACTCCTGAAGTGATGACAAATTTTGAAGTTGAGAATTACAGGAAAACTCAATCTGGAAAAGCTCTAATTGAGTTCTTAAGTGTAACTTCTCTTGATCTGTGAAGTCAGCTGAATAAAACTTGTTTGCAAGTTGACAAATTTGTTCAATATTGAAAGCCTGAAAATTATCTTTGGGGTGCAATGCTGAACTAAGAATAAGCAACTCTATTACATCTTCCTTAAACCTATTCTTCATTTCAAGTATTTGAGAATCAACCGTTGCCAAAAACACATCAATCCTGTAGTGATGCTCCATGGTAATTGGATCATTTTGTTTTCGAATTCTTCCTCGACCTGCTTTATAAATGACATTCATATCAGGCATCTCTATATTTCGTGCATCACAAAATGTCTTTACATTGGTGAACAATTCATTCCATCCATTATCTCTGTAACTTTGAAGTCGATCCTTTGTTACTGAAACCAATTTAAGGGCATTCAAAATATCTTGAGATTTGCATTGTAAAGCTTGAGAAAGTACTTGTGCAAATCCTAAAATGTCCCTCATCATATGCATAACAAGAACAAAATCAAAGGATGTCATGAAATCATAAACTCTGTCAGCTTCACTTCTTTGAGTTGATGTATTTCCATAATTGATAACATCAATTAGGACAGAGCAAATGTCTTCATATTCTGTGAATAAGCTACAGATAGAACTAAAATGAGACCCCCATCTTGTAGTCCCTGGCCGTTTTAAGGTACCCATCTGATTCTGACCCCTACCAGTCTCAAGTTCATCAATAGCAATCAATTCAGCAATTCTAGCAGCTCTAGCAACTCTAAGTTGGTCCACCCGTTGGCAAGAAGATGAAACTAAATTTATAAGAAGAGATAAGTTTGTAAAGAATTGTTCCACAGGAATTACCTCTTGAGATGTTGCTATCAATGTTAATTGCAGTCGATGAGCAAAACAGTTAATATAATATGCATAGGGGCACTCCTGAATAAATAATGCTTGCGGTCCATTCCATTCTCCACGCATGTTACTAGCTCCATCATATCCTTGGCCACGAATGTTTTGCACACTAAGATTATGGCGAGAAAGGACATCACATATCTCCTTCTTCAAAGTCAAGGAATTGGTTTCGTGCACATGAACAATGTCAAAAAATCTCTCTCGAATATAGCCTTGCTTGTCCACAAATCTAAGAACAATAGCCATTTGCTCTATTTTTGATCTATCTTGAGCCTCATCAACAAGTATAGAAAATTTTGAATCACTAATCTCCTCTCGAATATGCTTTTGTATCTTGATCGACCAAATGGACAATATCTCCTTTTGGATCGTAGGAGAAGTATAAGATGCATTTCGAGGAGCATTATCAAGAACCACAGCAGCCACTTTTTCATTATAAGAAGACACATGCTTGATCAACTCAATAAAATTACCTCGATTGTTAGAATCTAAACTTTCATCATGACCCCTAAAAGCCACCGCTTGAAATGCACACCATTTTGCAGCATCTATGGAAACTTGAAGTTGCAACCGATTTTTTGCAACCTGCTCAGAATTTTGCTTCTCAATAATTTTGTCAAGATGTTGCAATGAGTTTCCCAAATCATGATAGCATTGCATTGCCACTTTGTGTGATGAGTTAGGATCTTTTCCAATGTGATTTAAAAAAGCACAATTTTTTCCATCATTTACCTTCTTCTATGATCTAAATCCACTAGTTGTGAAGGCCATTGATCCAAAACGGTCCGTTGGCTTGGAAAAAAGTGAGCAAGGAAGACAAAAGGCAGCATTCTTTGTTGGAGAAAATTCCAACCAATCTGGAAACAATTTATACCAAGAGAAAAGGAAACGTCGGCCCTTCTTGTCAACAACCATTGATTCAATCGGAAGCTCAGGTTGGTATGGCCCAAACTTAATATATGCTCTCCGTACCTCATCCCTTTGATGCTCTAGATATTCCCAAATGGATTTTCTCTTTCCAGGATCACGTTCTATGGATGAAATATCAAACTCTAATGATTCAGCTCTACAAAATTTCTTTGTTTGATGCTTAGGAGAAAAATCACGAAGAGGACAAGGAATTTCACCACTTCCACTTGGTTCTAGACGTCTTTTCTTGAAAAAAGAATCAATTGTCCTGTTGGCCATTACCACTATATTTGCAACAAACAACAACCTGTAATCGAAATAAAATTGATTGAGAAATGCTGATTATGGCCTATAGAGATGGAATAAAAGCAGCAAGAACATTTGCAACTTAAGTAGACATAAGTGACATGCACAAAGTATTATTCAATAATAAAATGCAAACAAATGATAAAAGATCTCCATTAGAGCAGAACAAGTTCTCATTTCAAACATATCTCAAGGAAGTTTTCATAGCTTGTTATTAAATCGGCTGAACTTGAACAACTAACACCTACTTGAACTCATCAACTATTGTAATCCGAAAAATAATCAATAACTATCCATGCCAGTAAAAGTTTCTATAGTCTAAACAAGCATTACTATAAAGTATAAACGGAAACCGACCATAATAAATATGTACAATTTAAACTCCTTAAATTGCATAGCAAATTCTCAGCACAATGTCGAGAAACAAAGATAGACAATTCTAGAGGAACAAATATTCAGGAGGTCTTACTGCCTGCTGTCTAGAAAACCATGATAAATAAAGCAATGATAAAATAAAATCAGTAAAATGACAAGCAGGAAACTAAAACTCAATGCGACAAGTTATTTGCCCAATAAAACTCAATGCTACAAGTACAAAAAATAATACAAGTCCCTCTCGATCAATTCATCAAACAATTAACGGGCGAACTTTTTTACACCCACATTTCACTAAATAAATTTCTAAGTAAAAAAAAAATTTTACCCCCCTCCAATTGTTAAAAAAAAATTACCTAGACGGCTAGACCATGCAAAATGCAATGGTACAAATGTACAATCCTTAGCCAGCGGGGAAGGTCTTCACAGGAGAAAGTTTCTTCAAGCCTTCACAGGAGAAAGTTCTTCAAGGCTCAAGCCTTTGACGTTTCTATTTTCTACTTTGACGTTTCTACTTAGGAAGAAGAATTGTGGCAGTCAATTGCCAAGTTAACTAACTGGCGTCTAGCTATCTTTTCTTTGCACTCCATACGTTAAGAAAATAATTCTGTGTTATTTGGACTTTCAAATATTATTATTTGGGCCTTGAGGGGGCAAAGTAAATTTTTTGATTAATTTTTTGGGGGGGGCAAAACATAATAATAAAATTTTTTTTACTCAGAAATTTTTTTCTTTTAACAATTGGAGGGGGGGCGGTTGCCCCCCTGACCCCCCCTTCCCTCCGCCCCTGCACCGGCGCCTGCCCATTGCATGCATGGCAGAACCAACACCCCCAACCCCCCTCCCCAAAAAAAAAAGTATGCTTCACAATAACCCAACACGCATCATGAACGGGTATGGATTCTATGGAAATATGAATGGTGATGGTTCGTTTAAATTAAAACTCAACAATTGAAGCTGTGAGATTCCTTTAAAAAAAAAAAGTGCCACATTTTATTGTATTCGTAACTTGAATCACGATCGACTTCCATCAGTTACTTTTTCACCATACTATAATTATAGATTGTCATCCAGTGGACCCCATGACTCAAAACTCAAGAACCAATGTCATGCAGTTTCAAATTTAGGCCATGTTTGATAACTCAATTCAACACTTAAAATCAATAGATTCAAATTTTATTCAATTGCATTTGATAACAAAAAATAGAACATTTAAATTAATTAAATGGCACTGAATTTTCTAATCAAAATTTGGTCTAAAAATAAGTAATAAGCTACTCACTTATTATTTAATATAATATACATTCAAATGTATCAAATTAAGGCTCCATTTGAAATTGTAGTGAAGTACTTATCAATAAAGGCTTTATTAGTAAAGTATAATTTTCAATAAACTACCGCAAACCCAAACAGGTTCTTAATACTTAATTATTCAATAACTTAAATGACTCAAATTTCAGATTTCAGATTTCAATTTTTATCAAATGCACCCTTAATCCAAGAAAGAAAAAAGAAAGGCATAGGTACGTATGGAGATTGACAGAAAGACCAAAATAGATAAAATAATTAGAATGGCCAATTTGTCTTATGTGATTTATAAGTTTTAGCCTTATTATTAGCTTATATAAAAGCCTTGTTCTCGATTATTTTAGATTTTACAAAATTTAATTATAAAAATTAATTATCTGATTCAGCAAAAGCTATTTTTTGAATGATTATAGATTTCAACTTTTTTGTTATTAAAAAATCTACAATCATAATACAAATAGAACCAAGAACATCACAAAATGTAACTACTTAAAATTAGAATCCATAATTAATTAAAATAATTAACTGAGAACAAGTCCACAAATGGAGTGTTCTTGAGACTCATTTGCTAATAATTTGATAAAGAAGGTTCATTTAAAATAAAATTAGTTGTCTTTTAAATTTATTTTGACAATAGAGGATAGTTTTGAAATCTTAAACGTGGTTATAATCTAAAAAAAATGAACAATATGGGTAAAATTCTAATCACTGATAATTCATTAATTTTTTTCAATTAGGAATTAGAGAGAAATTCTCGGATTAGTTTGATTGCAAGTAATAGCTGATGGTATGATCATTTTGATTTCAAATTAGATACATGAGTTGATTGTGATACACAATTTTTAAAAAGTATCAAAATTTGTTGTATTTTTACAAATTATTATGTTGTGATCTTTATTTATTGCGTTTATACTTATATTATGCTCTATAATTAGGACTAGCAGCTGTATAACTTCAAGATTATGTATCGTGGAGCTAGATCTAGTTTCATCAATTACTTTTACCATAATCATACTTAATTACCTATTTGGCAGACGAGTTGTTTACCAAATTTTCTCCTACAAATTTTTAACAACTTTAACTTGTGTAATATCGAAAAACTTCTCAAAAATTTTAAAATACATATATTAAAATACCCAAAAAACACACAAAAAATTTTTCTTATTTCTTTTCTTATTCTTCCTCTCCCCATCTCATCAACCCACCACCATTTTTGTCATTGGCCAGTACCACCGATCTCTTTATTTTTTGTTTCTTTCTCTTCTCCCTCTCATTCTCCTCCTTTCTTATCCCCTTGTCATTCCTCCCTCCCTTCTTCCTCCTTCCTCTCCCCTCACCTTCTCCACTTCCCTTCTCCCTCCTTTTGGCACCCTCCTCCTTCCCCTAGTACGATCTGGTCACGCGATCAAATCACACTAGAAACAGGAGAAGGGTGACGAGGGAGAAAAAAAGGGGAGGTGGTAGGGGGAAAGATAAAGAGGAAATGAGAGAGAGAGAGAGAGAGAAGCAAAAAATGATTTTTTGTTGGAGCCAATTTGCCTACGGGGGTACCGACACCAACGGCCGCCTATAGCGAGGAAATAAGGAGGAAGATCAGTGATGGAAATGGAGAAGAAGAAAAGTATATGAAATAAAAGGAAAACGAAATAAAGGAATATTAAGAAAAAAATGAGAAAGAAAGACGAAGAAAAAGAAAAAAAAAAGTTTTACACATCCTAAAAAGGTTTTCTACAAATTATACAATAAGTTACAATTAAAATTTAGATAAACACCCAAAAAATTCACTTGTCAATGGGCACTTATGAATGATAAAGTTAATGGGTCGCAGAACTTAAAACTCAAGAATGATAGACATAACTAATTACCCAACCTCATCGCTTTTGCAACTGCCAACCAGAAACATACCTCATATTACATTTTCATGGAAAAATTTTGGGTAGATTCGGTTTACAACCTCTCATGTAGATTGAGTGACAAAAATGTTCCACATCAACTTCTCGGTTATTCACTTTTTTCTAAATTTACAGCCACCGGATCCTCAATATCCTCGATCCCTTTGCTCTGCCATTGCTGCTTTGCTTAACGCTCTAGTTATTACCACCACCATTATAGACATTACCCTTTACCTCTTTCCTCCAACCTAAGGCCCTGTTTGGCAAATGGATTTTTTGCCTTTTTTTTTTTACAAATTTTTTTACAATTTTAATTATAGTAATCTTGAAAAACTATCCAAAATTTAAAAAATACCTACATTATAATACCAAAAAACACATAAAAAAATTCCCTTCTCTCTATTCTTCTGATCATTATTAGCTTGCATTGTCCGTACAATTCCACCAGGATCTGGAGGTAGAATCAGGATCACCACAACGGTTAGTTGATCTCAATTTTTCCTTCCTTTTCAGAGTGAAGTTTTTGTCAATGCAAGATTGTTTTTTTACATTGTAAGTTGTTTATGATGTATGCCTTAATTTTGTGCAGCTTCCAAATAGACTTGGTAAAATGATTGCCCATCTACATTGGCATGATTACAAGAAGAAGTACGGGAAGCTTGATGAGTTTGTCTCCAGCCATCCTGAAGTATGCATTTTCTTCCTAAGTTAAATTTCTGCATTGCTCAATAATAAGTTTAAGTAGCCTATTTTCTCTTTCCAGTTATTTGTAATTGATGGAGACTACATACAACTTCGAGAAGGTGCACAAGAAATCATAGCAGCTACAGCAGCTATTGCCAAGGTTGCTGCTGCTGCTGCCGCTGCCGCTGTAACATCGTCTTACTCATCATTGGTGCCTTCTGTTGCTGTGACTCCGATGGCTCAGTCTCACCGGTTGAAGAAAGCTCCATCAACGGAGTCCACATCTGGAAAGTCTGACAGGAGCATTTTTAAGGAGTATGCAGTGTCCAGGCCTTCAAATGCCATCGATAATTCATCTCAGCTATCTGCAATGAAGAACCAGCATCCAAATGGTGTTTCCCTTAGCAACAGTGAAGGTGTGTCAAATGTAAAAATCTTGAGTAAACCTACGGATCACACGGGAATGAATAGCTCTGAGAGCACGCATGGGCAATCTATGCTATTGACATATGGAAATGGAACAAATTCTGAGAAGAATGATTTTGGCAGCTCCCAAAACAAGGGTTCAACTCAATGGAAGACCAGTGGGAGTGTAGTTGGAAATCAGCAGGGCAGGTACTCAAAAGAATATTGAATGAATTTTTTTCTTTCTTTTTTTTTTTTTTTTTGGTTTTGCAGATGCAATTTGGTACCTGTATAATATTTTCAATTTCTGCTGTTGTCAGGGTGGTTGGTGCTGCTGCAAGTCCTAGGAGATAGTAAGTAAAGACACATGCTCTTTTGAAATTATATATATATATATTTATATATGTACATGCATGCATAAATGCTTTATATATGTGTCTTTTGCATCTGAAAGAAGAGCTGAATTTTTGAGATAGTTTAACCGAGTGTGTTTGACCTTAGTCTTTACTTTGACTCGTTTCATGGAAAATCATGCCAGTCTCTTTTGAGTCTTCTTTCATAGTAATCATGTTTGACTGTCAAGGCCTAAGGGTTTTCTTGACTGTCAAACGTGTTTTATCAGCAAATGGTTAAATGCATAGGCAACTTCCTTCAAGTTTATGCACTGTAGCAATGAGCCAAGGTGTTCATAGACACGTCTGTAGTGCTTGATGATGATGTCACTTGAATAGAGAATATGGAATATGACATTGTTTACTGGACAACATAGTAGTATTATATCAAATGATCATTTGGTACCTTGAATGGTACATGAGATATTGGTAGTTTCTTTGTCGTGTGTATTGCTTAATGTTGGCTTATAGCTTACTGATTAGTTTTTGGCTTTCTCGTGAACTTATTCGGCAGGATTGGATGATGTCATTACCTAACAATGCTCGGAATTTTACATTGCTTGCAATGACATGATGTGTTTTGTTATGCTGAGTACTAAACATTGCTTGCGATGATGGTCACTATCTGACCCCTCACTTACTTTTGCTTTCTTTATTACTATTTGCGTCGCGTCAGGACTGAAAATCAGATGCCAAAAGTACCCTGCCTGCTTTGTTAAAAATGAGTTCCGAGCATCTTACGGAACTTGTTACAGGAGAACTGATAGGGGTAATATGAAACAGACCCTTCACTTGGATCTTTTTATTCAATGGCAGTGCATAGCGCGATATATTGAATTTTTAAGTCAATTGTCATATTAATCGCAGCTTTTTCATTTGCTTTGTGAAGAATTGAACCTTGTTCCCGGTGCTTCACTCTCTTCCGGTTGTCATATTAAAAGTACCCTGAAGGATCTGAGGGCGGCAAAACTCAAGATCTCTTTTATTGCTTCCTTTTGTTTTGGACTACAATAAGATAAGATTGAAAACCAAAAAGACCAAAAGTCATATTGAAAATTCTTGCTGGGCAATCATAACTGGATGAGAACCTTGACGCAGTCAGGTTCCTTCAGTAGATCAAAGGCTCGGTTTATGTCCTTGAGTTGAATTTCATGAGTTAAAAGCTGATCTAGTTTCTGTATCTCCTGCAAGATAGATGGGAAATTTCAGCTAATTTCTGTGGTCAACGTAGAAAGTTTTCGTTTCTGATCTCTCCTCTGTTGGATGGTGGAGAATTGAATTATTTCAGTTAAGGTTTGTACTTTTGAATAGGAAAGTATCCGAAATTTTTGAAGAAAAAGCTATGCTAAAGATAAATGGAATTTCAGTGCATTTTTCTTGAAGATTATTCTACCTTATTGATGCATTTGTCAATCACAACTGGAAGGTCAGACTGGACTTTAACCCCACCAAAAATAGAGTATTTGAATGTTCTGCATCCAAGCAGGGAAATGAAGTCGATTTCCATGCTCTTTTGAGTCCCTGCTCCAAGCATTATCGTTTTCCCTACTCCCTGATAGCAAATTACCAAGAAAAAGATAACTTGGAATTAGTAGCTGTTTCAAATACTATGCTCCATGGTTGTGTTATGGGACAGTTAATTACCATTTTGGTGGTTTCCAAAGCTTCGTTAACCAAATCAGGAACCCCCGTGCATTCAAAGCTATAGTCCACTCCTCGTCCATTAGTTAGCTCTTTCACCATTTCTGAGATGGATATATCACCAATGGCTTTGGGGTTTATATAATGCGTCATTCCAAAAGCTTCCCCCTTTTCGCGCTTGTCTTTGTTGATGTCAATGCCTACAATTTGTGCTGCTCCGCGCACTCGAGCACCCTCAACTGCCTGCATTGCATTTGAAAGTTAGGTCCTATGAGAAGAACGGGACAGATTGAGGAAGGATTCATTGGGATAGATACGATTGTATTTCGTGCAATTATATGAGGTTGTTGTATTTCTTCATATATTGGTGTACCTAGTTGTATTTACACATTGAGTTGATGTGCATGAAAAAAGTGTACGAATACACCAAGGTTATATGGTGGTACACCAAATTATGTAAGAAGAATGACAACCGTTAGAACTGCACGAAATCCTAACCGCATCGTCCCTCGTCCTAACATTTGGCATGTTGATGTTGCACTTACTCCCAATCCAACAGCGCCAAGGCCAAAAATAGCAACGGTAGAACCTTTTTCAACCTTGGCTTCTTTCCAAGTTGCTCCAAACCCAGTGGTGAAACCGCAGGACAGGAAGCTAGCGTGTGGTAGAGCTAGCCGTGAATCCATCTTCACGACGTAGTTAGCGTCTACAATGGTATACTGGGACCATGTGGAGCAACTAAGAAATTGGTACAGCATTTGGCGGCGACCTGAAGTTATAATGGACATTCTTGATGAACCATCTGGCATTAATCCGGTGAAAGCTTGCAAGGGGTAGGTCTCGCATAGGTTGGTCTTTCCGGAAATACAGTTGTTGCATTTTTTACACTCCCCCAAGTACGTAGGAATGACCATGTCTCCCACTTTGAGGTGAAAGACTTCTTCACCGACACTCTCTATCTGGCTGGAGAGAAGATGAAAGGGATTACTATTCAGCTCTATTTGGTCATTCTATAAAATTGATAGTTGAAGTCTGAAATTTAAAAGTTGAAACTGAATTACTGAAGCAAAATGCAAGAACAAAAGAGAGATTGGAAGAGAAATCGATTACCCAACACCTTCATGTCCCAGAACTCGAGGAAATAGAGGCTGGAATGAGGATTACCAAAACAAGTGAGAAAGAAAGAGAGTTGAGTTAAAAATCGGAAAACAGGATTACCAAAAAAAAAAAAAAAGGTATATGAGGAGTAAAGAGAGAGTAGTAACCGTTGGAAAGCCATTGCAGCATAAGACATCAGTGTGACAAAGGCTGGCAAATAACATCTTTACCCTAACTTCACCTGATCTCGGAGGTTCCACCTCTATCTCTTCTACCTTGGGTGCCTCGCCTTTTCCCCAGCAAACAACGCCTATTTTTATTTTTATTTTTATTTTTGAAGGAGGGGGGAGGGTGTAGCATCATCAATTAAACCTTAAATGGAGTATTGTGATATCTGGAGATACAAAGAGAAAAATAGCACAAGAGAACTAACAAGTAATGAGTAGGCAATTCCTTGTATTGCCCAAAAATAGAAAGAACGGACTTAAGGGAGCAGCAATAACGAGAAATCCACCGATCCACACGTAAAGTGTGAAACAACGACAATTGTACACAGATTGCATTATTGTAGCTAGGAGCCAATCAATTAGTAGTGGGTTCAGTACCTTTGCAAGCTATGATGTTGGAGCTATTGCGGGTCGACATTATCACCACACTTGATGATTGGGAGGGGAACTTGAATTGGCTTTTCTTGTGTGGGAGAGACGACGTTTTCAACTGCTTGAAACTTAATCTATATCGTTGTAGTATTGTAATCTGATCAGAGCAGAGCAGAGGAAAAGACAGTAATATGCTTTTTTAGGGCAGTAGGAATAATGTTGGAGTCTGAAGGACTATGACTGGTTTAGATTTATTAGTATGGTAGACCACATTTCCACTATATAATACGTATGCTAGTTGTACAGTATATGGCTTTTAGGCACGCGATGCATTCATTTGTCGGTTTACAATTATTGGGTGCCATGCAACTCGCATGCGCCACTTTTTTTTTTTTTTATTATAAAAAAAATAGAGCTTTGCCATGCAACTCGCATGCGCCACTATTGATATTTTGTCCAATCACTGATCAATCACTGATAAACTGAAAAATAATAACAATTGTAGAATATATTATGAGATGCGAGGCTTTAGCAAAATGCTTTTTTGTGATAATATTCAATCACGATTGGAAGTTAATACAGTGGAAACAAACCTTTTTGTGGGTACAATAAAATGAATTACAACTTCTATGAATTGGAAGCATGAAAATACTGGTGTATTAGGGCATACATGCTCCATAACTATGTAGACGTTCTGGGCATCCTCAAATGCTCCATAACTATGTAGACGTTCTGGGCATCCTCAAATGCTTCATGAAATTGGACCAGATTCTTATGTCCAGACAAGGCTCTCAATATCTTTACCTCCCTACGGACATCTTCAATCGATATTGCGGTAGTCATCTGCCAGAAAGCATTTTCTGTTAACAGCTCTGCAGTAAAACTTAGCACCCACTTTCTGATAAATCAAATACACCTAAGCACGAGAGGATCTTCAAGCTTCTCGGACTCGGTGCCAATAAAATTTACCAATCAGTTACAGAGAGACGGAGATTAATAATAATACTAAGGAGCAAAACCATAATTTTGAACTCCCAAAATCAGACTTGGGGGTTAATCAATGTCCACTTGGTAGACTTAAGAGCCTTCTAAACCCAGACAAAAAATAGTCAGCCTAGGTGAGGACTGAGGACTTCAGCCAGGAATAGATTATGCTGACGCCGGCCAAATTTATGCGCGTTTAGAGCATTTTATATTGGAGCATTTTCCACCTGGCTGGAAGACCAGCAGCTATTTTACTGGTCAGCTTAGCACAAACTGGCCCGATTCACAATAAGTAGGAAATAAGATGTCATCAGTATTCAGTCCTAACTACTGAATAATACCTTGCCATGGGCTGGGGTGAGGTGAGGGGTGAGACGTTTTAATGATGCAGTAACATACATCCACCAAACGAGCAAGGAAACATTGACTGACACTCTCAAATGAACAGGCAAGTAGTTGCTTGGGCCAAAACGTAGAATGCCTGAGAACATTTCATCAGTCCGTAATGATATAAGTCTTTCAAACCGTTTGTTCAGTCGGGGGCATGAAAACGGCATCATTCTCTCAGCATAACCAAACCAGTGGGTATAAAATGGAGTACAAGCATCCTCACAGATTTGTGCATTTGTAAAGTTATGAGCAAAAGAATATGCATGCCTGATCATATGCCAAAGAAGTGACGCTCGTTCACAAAGTGAGAAGACTAATAATAATGCAAAATCAACATGCTGTCCATTCAGACCCAACATTTAGCTTCAAACCAGATCTGATTCCATTACAATTCTGTGCATGTACATATGATACCAAAAAAGAAAAAGCATCCCTTACTAGACAGCAACAAAAATCTTCCAAATTGGAGGGAACTCAGGAGCTCTTAATGTTAAACAGACAACCTCTACCTCTCTACAAAGTTCACAGCCACTGTGAGGGATTTATACGGCAGTTCCATTTCTTATCAATAAGGTGCTTAAACGAGATAGGAGATATGATGTTCCGTCCTCCAGTTGCTACACCTGCTTTTATCTCGCGCAATAGCCCTTTTTGTGTTTTATATGAGGGAGCTTACTATTTTCCAAAGAAATAGTGAAAATAGGAGAAAACCGTGATAAAACCAAAGTAAGAAAGTTCAGGTTGAATGATTGAGGTGCCTCCAAGGGTGCACCAGAAAAGGAAATAAAAACATTAGCCTAACAGGATAAAAAATATTTTGGATTTCAAATTTTAATTTTCAGATTTCAATTTTTATGAAATGCACCCTTAATCCAAGAAAGAAAAAAGAAAGGCATAGGTTCTTATGGAAATTGAGAGAAAGACCAGACATAGATAAAATAATTAGAATGACCAATTTGTCTTATGTGCTTTATAAATTTTAGCCTTATTGTTAGCTTATATAAAAGCCTTGTTCTCGGTTATTTTAGATTTTACAAAATTTAATTATAAAAATTAATTATCAGATTCAGCAAAAGCCATTTTTTGAATGATTGTAGATTTCAACTTTCTTGTTATTAAAAAATCTACAATCATAACACAAATACGACTAAGAACATCACAAAGCTAATTAATTCAAATTAGAACCCATAATTAATTAAAATAACTAACTAAGAACAAGTCCACAAATGGAGCGTTCTTGAGACTCATTTGTTAATAATTTGATAAAGATGGTTCATTTAAAATAAAATTAATTGTCTTTTAAATTTGTTTTGACAATAGAGGATAGTTTCGAAATCTTAAACGTGGTTATAATCTAAAAAAAATAAACAATATGGGTAAAATTCTAATGACTGATGACTCATTAATTTTTTTTCAATTAGGAATTAGAGAGAAGTTCTCGGATTAGTTCCATTGCAAGGAATAGCCGATGGTATGATCATTTTGATTTCAAATTAGACACATGAGTTGATTGTGATACACAATTTTTATAGAGTATCAAAATTTGTTGTATTTTTACATATTATTACATTGTGATCTTTATTTATTGCGTTTATACTTATATTATGCTCTATAATTAGGACCAGCAACTGTATAACTTCCGGATTATGTATCATGGAGCTAGACCTAGTTTCATCAATTACTTTTACCATAATCATACTTACAGTTTTTTGTCAAAATAACACTCTTTCTAAAAAATATTTTCAATATGATTCACTTTCAAATTTTATTCCCAAATCGATGTTATTGTTGCCACCTAATTACCCTGATTGCTATGTAGGATAACAAAAAATGAAAACTTTAATCTAATCTATAGTTTCCAACAAAAACTAAAAATTTAAACTATTTTATTATAGAGGCACAAAAGGATTGCTTAACTTTAATAAATTCCTTATAATTATTTAAAATAAATTCTACCACTATTGACCTTGCTATTATTGCTCTCAGCAATATTTTTTTAATGTATCAAACTTATTGCATATATTTTTCAAAAATGAATTTGCAAAATACAAAAATTGCAATGAAAATTGTAAGCAATAACAAGAAAAAGTTACAAAACTTCAAGACTATCATATTTGTTTATGTTATACTTCCTACTCCTTGAAAAGAACTTTTACAAAAAGTAATCAAACTATTGCAATTAAGATGATGCTAAAGTTTCTTGAAAGTAACAAAAGCCATTAATTGATGTTGAATAAATGTGCAAAAATACTTCAAGTATACAAGATTATTTGATCATGTGATAGAGAGGCACTACAAATGAACATACTTATATATGTGGCGGCAATCAAACATATTGAATATGAATCTATGTTGTTACGTAGTTTTCTTCTTAACATTTTATCAAACACGGTGTGAGAAATCATTTGTTAAAACAATTAGTATTCAAATTTTTTTGAAGGTTATAGGAATGTTCCAAAAACTGCACAATAGAAAAGATAATAGAATAATTTTCATTTACCTTAAGATTATCAATTTGAGGAGAATATTTTCATCCATAGATACAATATCAGGAATGATAATGAAATTTTAGATGTTGTTAATGTAAATATTGGCTTCTCATAATTACATTTGACAAGGAAAAATAATGAAAGAAAAAAGACAGCGAAAGGAAAAAAAAGGATAATTTCAGATACCTCCCCTGAGGTTTCTGACAGTCTCACTCTCCTCCCCTGTGGTTTCAAAAATATCACAAACCTCTCCTGTTAGAATTTTAGGTCTCATTTCTTATATCATCATGGCCAAAAAGACTTAAATACTCTCACAAGTTAGCTAATATTTCGTGATTATCAGGACAAATTTGGCGAAGTTAGTTATAAACACAATTAATGTAATTAACGATAAATTAGAATCCTTTAACCAATATAGAAACAGGCAAGTAACTAACATCTAATATAATATACATGTTTGTAAATTGATTGTACCTCATAGATCACCCCGTGTAAGGTATTTATAGGCAAATTAGTATTAGTCATATAGATAAAATTACATACCCACTGAAACTTGCAAGAAGATGCACAAGTGGGTCAAAGTACCAATAACCATTCCAAATGTATGCATACCATTGCACTATGCATATTGCTGCGATGACTAATTACAATATGCATGTGAACAAATAACTGCATGTTCAACAATTTCTATGCATCGTACTTGGTCAATAACACGGTGTACATTATTTCAACCAGATTGTACATTCACTAAGTATTTATATACATGCTATTTATTGAAGAAAACTACCTCTCTAATATTTCGTGATTATCAGGACAAATTTATTGAAGTTAGTTATAAACACAATTAACGTAATTAACGATAAATTAGAATCCTTTAACCAATATAGAAACAGGCAAGTAACTAACATCTAACATAATGTACATGTTTGTAAACTGATTATACCTCATAGATCACCCCGTGTAAGGTGTTTATAGGTAAATTAGTATTAGTCATAAAGATAAAATCATTAATGCAAGATAATCAGGGCATTTGTGGTATATAGTTGTTTCTCTCTCCAACTCTCCATTTTTTATTGTTTGTATTTTTGAATTGGGTCTACTTTGAGACTGCCTATTTAGTTTTAGGGAAAGTTTGTGGTATTTTTGAAACCACAGGAAAGGGGAGTGAGACTGTCAGAAACTTCTGGGGAAGTATTTGAAATTATCCCAAAAAAAATGGAAAGGTTCAGAGAGAGAATCGGAGAAGATATTAGTTGGAAAAAAAAGTTGGAAAGATATTAGTTGGGAAAGAGAGATGGAATGTGCCTCTATATCTATCCTGCCACATATGCAACATATGTGGCAAAAAAAGAA